GATGTAGTGTGTGTGCACTATGCACGCAGATAATGTAGGGGGGTGTGTAATGTGCATGCACTCTATATATAAAAATGTAGTGCATGTGTATTATTAACTATGAAGAGGAAGCTGTGTGTGTGTGTGTAGGTGGCTCTGTGTGTGTGTGTGTGTGTGTGTGTGTGTGTCTTCATGTCTAATGTGTATACACATATGTACATATGTGTATGGAATGTATATACACATATATAGTTGTGCATACACATATATGCATACATAGACACATATGTGTGTGTACACAAGTGTGTATATGTACACGACATATATACATATATAAAATGCAGTGTGTATAATGTGCATATACAATAGATATCAAAATACAGAAAACAACATTTTGTGTGTGTGTGTGTAATGTGCATGCACTCTATATATAATATGTGTGTATACATTATATATAATTTGTAGCGTGTCTGTATACATTATATACATGTATGTGCATGTATGTGTGTGTGTGTGTATTTGTGCTGAGTGCAAGTATGATGCGGATTATATAAAATACTGGACCCTCCCAGGGGTTTTCCTGCGCCGGTGGCAGCTCCCAGGGAGAGGTTCAGCCCTTTCTTCTCGGTGACTGTCCTGTGCTCAGGCTGTGGTGGGTTCTGCGGCCTCCCCTCCTCACCCTCCGCATCCCCGGCGGGATGTGGAGCCACGCGACCTCCGTCTGCTCATGCCCAGGGAGGAGGGCTTCGGTTTTTGCACTCTGCATCTAGAGCTGGGCTTAAAAGCAAGCAGGTGCACACTGTGTGCTGTATATGGACCTGCCAGTTCAGTGCTGTCTGCTCCCCTGTCTTTACACAGCACTGCAGCCCTCAGAGCACCCCGGCCTCGTTGCTCAGCCTCCCACGGGCCTCTCACCCCCACTCACAGCAGCCAGGTTCACGCTGGGTCTCTAGCAAACCCCCCACGAAAGCCAGCTGCCTGATGCCATTCAGCTCGGCCTTGCATCTTTTATTTTATTTTATTTTTGCCTAGTTTTCTTTGCACATCTTCCCCACACTAGCCTGAGGCAGGTGCCTGTGCAGCCCCAGGAGGGTGCTGAAGCCCAGGACGACGCTGGCCCTGGCCCAGGTCATCTCTTCACCATCTCAGCTGTTTCAATGCTGTTCAGGATCCCATCAAGCATCACCTCCCATCATGGAGACTCTGCACTGGGCAGTACAGATCACATTAAAATTTGGCCTCTGCCCTAGCTACAGAGGTAGCATGTATGGCTCCTGTCTCCTCAGCTCAGGTGCAGTGGTGGGCCTCGCTGCAGTGAGGGCACGTGGGCTCTCCTCAGCGCAGAGGCGGTTCTGCTGCCTCTTCTGTAACAGCAGCCACATCTCACCATGGGCTAAGCGGGAGAGCACAGAGAGGCTCACACAGCCAGAGCTACCAGAGCTACTTTGATGCCCAAAGTCCCTTCAGGAGAAGCTCAGGAGCAGCCTCAGGCGGCCACCGCTGCAGGGACCCACCGCGTCCCGGGACACTTAGCTGGGAGGGCCCCACAGTGATGGCGGCGCCCAGTATCATGGCTGGGCCAGCACGCAGCCACAGCCCAGAGGGCTTGTTGATTAGACACATACTGTTTAATTGAAATTAAAAAATGACACATAGCAATTTGCCTTTTATTTACTTTTTGTTTTCCAGAAGGCACCAGCTATCAAGATACATGGGTATTCCTTGAGAGCTGGGTTATTTCTACAATTTCCAGAGTATTACTTGCTTACACTCCCCTACCCCTTCAGGAAAAAAAAGCACAAGGGTGCAAATGAACCCTTTAAAATAAAAGTCCAGAAAGCAGAATTTTTCTGAAAATTTTATTGAGCAGAAATGTGGCGGTTGGAGGAGGAATCCTTACACCCGTGCTGAGGCGCTGCCCAGTACTGTGTCAGCATTCCCAAGGACAGGGATCACTCACTGCACCGTGGTACATGGGGAAGCGGGTGTAGTGGGAGGCCGTGGTACATGGGGAAGCGGGTGTAGTGGGAGGCCGTGGAGGGGGGCTGAGGGCTCCGGCCACGCTCTGGGGCAGCGGGAACGGCCTCCGCGCAGCAGCCGCCTCCCGCGGTCACCACACAGGAAGGGCCGGCGGCGCCGCCTGCGCCAGCCCCGAAGGACACCATGAGCGCGGGGCTGAGCGGCAGCCCGGGCAGCGACACGCTGCCACTGGCCTTCACAGACACGGGCTGGGAACAACTTCCCAACACGCAGCAACACAGCTGCTCTGATCCAAAGGGCCAGCCTCGAGCTGAAGCACAGGGAGAAAACCCCTGTAAGCATTTCTGCGTGCCGCTACCTTAACCTGCTCCTGCTAGAACGGTCGGCTGAGGGCTACAGCACGAAACCTCCTCCCAGGACGCTGCACTATTACAACTGCATCCGCTGTTTATGGTGCAGGGAACTCACAGCTCCTAGGATCACTCTGATGGCCATGGCACCATGGCCTTAACGGGGGTGGGGGGAAAGGGCTACGTTCACACAAAATCTACAGAGACTCCTGGCACCGTTATTAAAACAAAGTGTGAATGACAAAAGTTTATTAAATGCATTCTTTAAAAAACTCTGTCTTAAATAATGATTTCTCAGTATGGATTTCATTGTAAAACAGTGCTGAAGCAGATCATAAATTAGTATTTTTTTTTCTGTGTTGATCAACCTGTTAATGAAGTGCTAGGCAGGACAGTCTCCACCCTCTCTCAAGGGCACTGCTGGGGCATCCTTCACACGCCGGGCACGGCCAAAGCGGCAGAGCTGGGTAAGGGTTTGTACTCAGAAACACGTGGAAGAAGCAAGAGGCAAGACGGGGCACCAGGGCCTTGGGGCTTGCCAATGGAGTGCACGTTTTAAACAACACACGAATATTCCAGACTATTTTCTTCCCCAGTCCTCGCAGGGACAGTCTCAAAATCAAGTCCTACACCCAGCAGACTGAAACAACGCATGAGAAGACTTTAGTCGTGGCAATTTCACTGGAGCTTTATTGCCTCTGTTGGTAATGAGAGGGGTTGTAAGAAGTTACAGTGGAACTTACAGCGATATGTAAATGATTCTTTTTTTTTACTAAATATAATCTCGAGTTTAAGTGTTTTATAGCAGGGCACTTCTAATTGTGTACATCTGTAATGTATAAAAAGAAACAGGTTACAAACTTCATTTTTTTTTCTTCTCCTGACATTTGGCAAAATTAAATCGATCCATTACGGGGAAATCATCAAATTGAGGATGTAAGCACTTATGAATTAAAGCAATCCAAGTAAGCAAATGTCTGCATTAAAATAAACAAAAAACCCACACAAATATAAAGGAAAAAAACACATGGCCACATCTGAGCACTTTTCATTACAAAATATTCCCTGTAACAGGCATTTTGTCCTTAGAACACCCTGTTATATCAATGTTTCTTTCATCTTCAGTTATTCATTTTGAAAAACGCTTAAGATGCCATCATAGCACAAATAACCCTTTTCTGCAACATAATTAGTCAAAGTTTTATGTCTTCTTTTTTTATAATTACACAGTAATTATAAGTGTATAGTACCAAACTGATGACAACACTATTTTGTTGAAAAGGTCTTGCATTCAAAAGGAATATTCTTTAAAACACCACGGCATTCTGCCACTAACCAATATCAGACTTTTGGAGGGATGAGTCTGTACTGGGATAAAAAGCTAGTTAGTTCTCATCTCAAAACACAGCATACGCGAACTAATCAATCTGGAACTGTACCAAAACCCTCAAGACAGAAAACAGCACACATATATACCTTTGTAGAGCTTTCCCCCCCGCCCCTGTAATTTCAAATCCCCATTTATATTTACACAAAATTGAGAAAGGAAATACTGAAAGCAGCAAAACACATATTTTTGGCATAGCCAATTCCAGTAGCTGGAGCTAAGTTTGCAACATTTTTCTAGAACTGTATTCTTGAAATAAATGCACGACTGGATTTTCTTCAAAGGGCACTGATATATGTGGAGCCAACCTTAAGGTCAACTTCAAGGCATACAAATAAAATTTTTAGCAGTATATAATAGTCATTTCTTCCCTAAAATACTTCTAGCATCTGCATAAAAGTGTTCTGCTCTTTAGTGCAAGTTCCAATCAGTCATTTCAAAAATAATTCTGGCCTTAGAGTGGGACTATTTAGAGCATGGACTCAAACCTCTATCCTTCCTTGTAACTATTGTCTTTCTTTTCTTCTCTCCTCCTTTTCTGTGGAGCTTGGCATTTTCCAGAATAGTATTTATCTCAAGAAAACAAATCTCTTCACAAGTAACTAAGTGAGGAGCAAACGAGCATGTTTAGCATGAAAGCAGCTCTTCCAAGAGCTCTTGTAAGGTTAAAAATAAAGAATCACATCTGATAAAACCTGCTTTGAACAAAAAACAATTTAGTTATATGCAGTGAGAAGTAATGGTGGATCAACAAAATAATTTATGCAAACAAAGCCAGTGTAGTACTTAATAACCAACCTGTGTTTCTGGGGGAAAACTTTACTCTTAATTTCTGTATTTGGCAACCACAGTGATATGTCAATTGAAGGAAAGCTCAACAAAATAAGTAATTAAAAATGGGTGTCATCCACAACAGCAGTACCTATATGTTATAAAGACTTAACTTATATCTCAGGATAATCATTTCAAAGCCTCGATTCATATCAAACTCAAAGCCTTCTTGAATATCAGGGTCATTTCTTTCTTCATACCTCAGCCATAAAATTTCCATGTCTGAATTTAAAATACTGTGCAGCAAACATTTAAGACACAAATTCAGTATATTCAAGTTTTAGATTTCCACAGAAATGAAAAACCTTTCCTAGGCGGACAGAGAAGCGTTTCAGACCTGTAACGAAATCTGGTTTCTTAGACAGCAGCCTCGCGAGCTGCTCCGGCGCCGACGCTCCCGCGGCCGCTCCGACGCCGCGCGGCGGCTCCGCGCACAGCGGAGGTGTCGGGTACTTCAGCTGCTCCCACAGCCAGCTGACGTACAATCAAACCATTCACATAGGCACCTGGATACCCCAGTATAAACAATCTTGGGTTTTGTTGGTTATTTCTGCTATTGTTTTTATCAGATACTCAAAACTCACTTAGACAATACCTGCACTTTTCCAGAAAAGAAAAAAAAAATATCGGACCCAGTACACTTAAATATATCACTCTTACAGGAAGTGCTATCAATACAGTCTTTGCAGCTAGCCCCAAGTGTATATTTAAGGATTTCTTTTTTTAAAGTGTTTTTGATGTTGATCTGTATAATTCAGATGCCATACAACAGTTGTCTGATGATAACCAGCATTGTGCTTTATGTGAAACCAGAACCCTCAAAATAATTATAAAGCTTCTAAGACTTATGGGAGATGAAACTAGAGTGGTCCACAAAAAAAAAAAAGGGAAAAAGAAAAAAAAAATCCATGATGAAATCCACAATGTTGGAATTGTAACGGGCAAGAGTGGTCCAGACTAGAAGAAAAGCCCAAACCACCAGTAGAAGAATGAAATATGATATGGTCCAAGATGTATCCTTAAAGGTTTGTCTCAACCCTCAGCCATATTGTGAGGATTGATCTTCAGTTCAGTCCAGCCAGCAGAAATTGACTGTGCAATTTTCCATGTCATGTATTTGTACAGACTATGTACACTCTAGAGAGGTCCTTTAGTGCTACACTGTCGTACTTTTTGTCCCAGCAATTTGAGGGCGTGCAAATTCCACAAAGTCATCGATAAGAACTGGCCATGCCCCTGAAAGAAAAAACAAACAAACAAAAGACACCCACAGAACATAAGAAATCAGGTCAACAAAATATTTATACTTACAGACTTCATATCTAAACAAGTTATTTAGTAATCTGTCTTAACTGGGCAAATTTCAAGCAAAAAAATCATCTTTTGATGCAAGTGCTTGAAATTTAAGGGCAGCTTAAAGATTTCTCCTTGCCTTAAACTCAGTTAGTAGACATCAAGGGTCATATTTCTGACATATTCTTGACCAGAAAATACCCGCTAGCAGAGTATTAACAGCAACTCTGCTTTGGTGGAACCAGCACTCAGACCTGGTCATCAGCACGGCAAGAGGTGCTTAAAAACTTCGGAGTGTTGAATGAAGAAGCCCGTGCTCTGCGCAGCAGCCTCGTGCGATGCCCTGCGACGTTTTCACCTCAAAATATATTTTTAAATAAATGTAATGCTTGTCTGTTGGAATCAGCACACACGGACACTTTCAAAACCAGCAAAATGCACTTCTATAGATGATGCCACAGGACTGCTACTGCACTGTACTTACTCCTCCACATTCCTTATCAAGGGGCAGTCATAATGAATACCAAGGTCTTACATATTGAGGAGAGTGACACCCAGACAGGTCACATGAAATTTTAAGATAATATGTTATGAAGTAATTCAGAATAAAAATAATTGGTTAAAAACGCTTTAGACTTTCTAAACTACGCTGACTTAATTACAGGCAGCAGTCCAATTCACTTGATAAGGGGATGTCCATAACTATTATATAAAGTAAAAGTTCACTTCCCCCAGCCTGGAGGAACCAGAAGTTTACGGTTTCCTCCACTCCAAGTGATCTGCTGCCAGCAATTGAAGGTAATTAGCTGTTCTTGGCTACAGATGGACTGGAAGAGGAAAGATCAATACAGAAGAAGCTCAGAAGAAAACACTTTTTGTAAAAATGACTTGTTTAGCAATCCCTGTATCCTTCCAGCTTCACTTCAGTATTATTAAATATCCAATATCTTCCCATAAATCAAAACAACCAAATTTAAAAAACATTCTCAGCTAAGAAATGCAATAACTAGAGGACCCCTGAAAAAATAAACATAAATAAAAAGCACATAAGCTAGGAACCAATCACTTTATTGAAGATGCTACAAAGTGTATTGATAGGTAATTTGTGTTTTTAATGGATAGATATCAGGATTTGATTCACAAAGATGCAGTTAGCAGTTAGAAAAAGAGGGGAAATGAACACGGCTTTTGGAAAGGGTCAGCATTTCGTTTTTAAATGCGTGGTAATAAAACAGATGATAACAACACACATTAAAGGAGATCTCTGGACTTTACATCATGGCTGATATTCTAATTGCACCATTAGTAGAGAATTGTGCCAAAGCAGCTACACGTGGTAAATGCAAAATAAAACACAGAGTAAAGAAATTAATAAAAGAAAATGAAAGTATTTACCTTCTTCATCATAGTTAGACATATCATCTGCTATCATTGTACTAAAGTCTAGAAGAAGGTTCCAGGTGTCCTTAGGTATTGATCTTTTATGATGCTCCTGTGTTGGAAGGGTAGAAAGCTTTTATTTAAAATATAAATAAAAACTATACAAACTTAACATTTTCTTGGATATATTCATATTACCAAAGCTTATTTTCTTGTACACACTATGAACTGTAGCACTGGGTGCTCATATCAATCTGTCTCATCTATTCAAAGATGTAAACATTTATCTTTGACACTTGGAAATTACTGCAGCTCAGTTTATACAGAGATTTAAACTTACCAACAAAAATTTGTTCCATAAGTCTAGAAATTTAAATCTTCCATTAAGTACTAAATTCCAGTAGGCTATGGCCATTTCTAAATCTGTAAAATTGAAATATATTACTGTTAGAGATGCACATTTCAAATAAATCATCTCCACAGGTATCTAACACTATGATAAACCAAATACTGAAAACAGTGCAAAGTTAATCCATTGCAAATACACTCTTGGCTCTCTTACAGAGGACAACCACACAGGGAAATGGCACTACACAAACACCTTTTAGGTTTGGATACTACCAGTTGATACAGAGAACTGAAGACTGGCCATATTAATACTTAACATATTTAGAAATCACACAAAGATATTTCTTTTTTTTTTGGCTATTAATTGACACTAGGTCCTATTCAGTAAAGTTCTGATGTCCAGAAATGCTTCTGCTTTCAGCAAAAAGTAGACTTTCTAAAAACGAAGACACACAAACTTCAGATTAAGCTCATCAATTCAGTGAGGAAACAGCCTGTAAACTTAGGTTTAATTTACTTGTGATGCACTGATAGCAGATAGATCAAATCTGCAAAGTCATCAAACCTCTACAAATGTATAGTGCTTTATAAATAAACACTACAAAAATACTGTGCATTTTAATGGACCTATATGATTACCATATTATTCTTTTGGCAAGAAAAAGCCTTAAAACAACTAACTGCAGGAAATTGCAACCTCAAACTGTTTTACAAAGGACCCAGACATAAAAAGCACAAAGACATAATGGCTTAGGAAGACACCACATTATATATACACACACACAATCAAGACATCAGAAAAGATATATTTCTGAGTGGTCATCAGAAAAAGTAAGACCGCTTGGGAAAAAAATCCTCCTTAATTGATAGCACAGAGCAAAGTACAGATCAAAGGCAGAAGTCTCAGGACTGACTCCCTGCTGGGAATGCTAGGCCAGGAGGCACGAGAGAAGTGAACGGGGTTCAAGATGAGCATCAGCTAACAGGTATGTGCAAATGATATGCAAATATCACAGGAACTTCTAGATGTGCACAGTACTTACACGGTAGCACAGAATTATGCAGAGGATATGCATTGCCAGAACTGTGCCTAATCTGCCAAACACTGAGTAGTTTACAGACCAATATATATTCAAAATCAATTTGCAAGTTTCAACAAGCAGCTATTTAGACACTCCAAAATTAAATGCCTTCAGGCTTGACAGAATTATTCTGCTCTATCATAAACACATATTTCTAAGCATGAATTTATTGGCTTTGTGAGAAACAACAAAAGGCAGCAGGCACTCAGATTTTAAATTTAGTTCTAAACCACTTCCAGATCCAGACTATAAACCACACAGTGTTTCTGAGATCCATGTAGCATATACTTTCTTTGTCACTGTAACAGGGCAGTCTGCATAATGAAGCTTTAAGATAAATGGGGAGAAAAAGTCAGTTTGCCTGCTGAATCATTTTTACTGAGCCTATTCCATCTGGGATATTCAGTAGATTCATATCGGACTAAATAAATCAGAAGAAAAGAATGCAACAGTTTTCTTTACACCTTAGAAATACAGGGAAGAAAATGGAACATATGTATTAAATACATATATGTATTAAACAGAACAGTTATGTTATGCTTATTCTGAAGCCCTGACAAGATTAATTAAAACTTACACCATTTCTCTCTACATAATCATGTATCATTATTATTTCACTTTTACCAAATGACAGGAATTTTTGCAGAAAGATTACTTCTTGTGTAAAGCTATTTAAAGACTAAAAGTGCTATAAAATTCTAGATGTTACAACAGTAACCTGAAACAAAGCATAATCAGATTGCAAAACAAACTCACACGGACACTCTGCCCCACCTAAGCTGCAGCCTCTCACAATTCAGGCACTGTTCACATTTTCCTTGGTGTGGAAGCCTCCTCCCCATCTCTTACCACAATCCCTTCTCCCATCCTGGCCCCCTCCCAGGAAAAAAAAGAAAAAGAAAAAAAGGGCTTTCTACACAAAGTAAGAATCAGCCCATTAATTTATTTGCAGCATTCAGATCCGAATACATGTATACACATTTTTTTTTTTAAGTTTAGCAATGCTCTTAATGCTCCAAACTTCTTCAAAGACAAAGCTTGCAACTGAAACAGAAACAAAGCAAAAAAAAACAAAACAAAACAAAAAAAACAGCACAAAAAAGCAAGAGTGCAAAGAGATGCTAAAGAATGACAAACACTAATAGCCAAGACACGGAGCATTGGCTTATTTCATTATTTTTCAATATTATTTTTAAGCAAAAAATAGGTCCTCATACACAAGGCACAAAAGCAAAGCAGAATGCTTGTGTTTTCACAGCAGATGATTGCAAAATTGGAGAGAGACAATCAGATAACCAAACAAAGCTCATTTATTTCCATCAAAATCACATTTTTACAAAAATTGTTTTTAATGAGCAATTCTTGCACCTCACCTATTATGCTAACAAAAAACACAGTCAGCAGAAAAAGCTCTGAAACAATGATGGGGGAAAAAAAAAACCCACCACCACACACTCACTGAACCAAGAAAAAAACAGCTGTAAGTTGGCATGTTTTACCTCATAAAAGAAACAACAGAAACAAGGTGTTTTATGCTATTCCAGTTCTATTTTGCACAGATACCTACACGCATTACTGGTCTTGCAAGAGACTTTCTACAAGTGTTTTTGCACATTAATCAGTTTTATAGCATAAATTCATCCTGTAAGTGAAAATTCCATCAATCTGTCCATTTCTGCATTTTGTATGTGGTATGATTACACCTTTAATATCTGACCACAACTTATACTAATTACTTTAAATTGTGCATGCTCTTAATGTGTGCTATAAAATTTGTGTGATCTATTCTAATGATGAAGGCATTTCAGTCAATTTGAAAATCTGACATTGACACCGTATATGACTTTGGCATCTACTTTTCACAATAGTAAGCCATTTTTTATCCTAACAGTGGTTATCTGAATTTCAAAGTTATTTGGTCATAATAGTATTTTCATTTACCGCTTTATGTGGACATTTTCCATACCTATTCACAAATGTTTACAAGCAAGAATACATACCTAAACCTTTCTGTCCCGGATTCTTTGCAAAGTTGAAAGTAAACTGATAGAAATCCTTAAATCTTCCTGGCTCTTTTAATTCTTGCTCCATCTTAGGAATCTGGGCCTTTAGTTTTTCTATACTGTCACAACTGCATTTCAAAAAGCAAGTCTGTGTATTAGTCATTTTACCATAACATACAAGATACAACTTTAAAAACCTTCTATAAACCTTTTTGCAGTCAGTACATCACGATTATTAAAGCAAAATACAAGTAATCCCCAACTAATCTGCATTCATGCAACAATATCATTTCTTTGTTATTTCCTCACATTGCTATTTGCATACACTAGCTCACAGATCAGCTTCAATAATGGACAGGATTTTCAGAAATATGGGGCAAAGGCAAGACAGACATATAAAGCAAAGAAAATGCAGCTGTGGACTAACATCAACAGGAGCTTTAACTACTCAAGTAGCTCTTCAGCAGCCACTTGAAAACCTCATGCAACTTGCTAAGGCAAGTAGAACTCAAACCCACATCCCCTTTTTGAGTCACTAAGGATCTAGTACATAGACAGCAGCCGCATCTTTATAGACACGGAGAAGTGATACCAGTCATCTCTGAAAAGTTTTTAAAGTTTGAAAAGACATTCTGAAAAGACAATGTGATTCTAAAATCCCCCAAAGAGGAATGTTTCACTGTGTGTTCCTATTTTTGATATTAGATTACATTGCCAGTGTCTCATACCTACTGCACACTTACCCTAGCTCCGTCATTCCATCCATGAATTCCAGCTTTGAAAACTCACACTGTGTAGCAGCTCTGAATTTCCATGCAATGATGAGTACAGTAATGCTGGCTGGATCAAGTGCTAGATCATCACAGAACTGCTGTATACCATCTATACCAATTTTATTTTCATCTTGAGGATCTTTGAGATATAAAAGTAGTTATCATGCAAAACTCAGATTTTTGAAAAATCCAGTACTTCTTCAATAAGAGTTTTTCAAGGAAAGCACACATTCACAAGAAGTAATTTCTGGGATAAGCCCAATAAAGTAAACAAAATTGGATTAGTATTTTCAATAGTTAAGCTTAAACACTTGAACAAATTACTGCAATAAAGCCTCCTATACAATGAAATTTTTATGCTATTTTCGTTGAGAGACAAAAGCATCAAACATTTTTTTTTTTCTGCCTAACAATATCCTTGATACTCTGACTGATTCTAGACAGGGAACAAAGGTCCTTTCCCACCAGCAAACTTAACTCTTGGTATCTTTGGTAAGATTGCTGATATGGGCACCACTACAAATAATATTATCATATTGATAGGTCCATTCCAAGATACATTGATGCAACTGGGCAAATCTCCCTGTAAGCTACTATACTGACATTACTTTTATGCATTTTCTGGCGTCACCAGCATGCATGTGATTGGACAGGGTAACCTCCAGGAGGAAAGTTCCAGCCAGTCCTCCTCTTTCCACAAAGGAGTCAGCATCTGGTCGGGAAGTGAGATGCTCACATTTCAAGTGCACTAACAAAGATACACTAATGCAAGCCAACGAAGACTTCAGGAAAATGGTATTTGGATTATGCACACACATGAAAACCAACACAAAGCACAGCACTCATTTTTAGATTTTTTAAAGTGCTAAAACGCTGATTTTTTTTTAGTCTATTGAAACCACTTTAATGTTCAAGGTAGGATAAAATCAGTTGAGTACTGCCAGTAAAAGAGTTAAAAGACTTTCTGTTCTCTTTGCAACCATCCGAAAAATCAGTAAAAGTTGAATAAGATAATAAGGTAGCGTCCATCCTTGGCATATGACTTTTAACTCTGTAAGGGAGTGAGTCCCGAGTAACATGTCTCCCCCAGAAGTACCATCCACGATCCGTATTAACCAAGTCACTGTGCACAAAACTCCAGTTCCACACCTTGTTTTGCATATTTGTACAAGATCAAGTTTACACAAAGCAACCATACATAATCCTTGGGGAAAAAAACAGTATTTTTTGACTAGCATTATTAGGTATGGAAAAAAACAAGTTGAAAAAGTCTGTTACAATTTCCAAGTAGGATTAAAATCCACTGTACTCACCTTTGTATCTGTTATATAGCTGTTCTAACTTCTTTCTGTCCAATGATCCTTTTACACTCTCTCGTATATAAAGTTCAGGATTTTGGAAAAAGTTGTCTGTTGCAACATCTAACTTCCAGTCATTCTGGGATAGACAACTCACCGCTGTCTTTTCACTAGATTGTGTGAAGACCATGAACTGACGCACTTTATCCTTCTGCGACGATTTCAACTTGTTCTAGAAAAAAGAGGTAACACTGAACTAGAAATATTTTACTTCAAAAGAAACCCACAGCATCTTATACAACTATTAAGATTTTCTCCAGCAGTTACACTTTTTTTCTACTATCAGACATTCAAACCAACATTTATTCTGTGATTTTAGGCAATCTGCTAAAACAGAAGTTTTATTTAATTTAACATGCAAACAGTTTATTACCCATCTGGATATAGTCAAACTGAAAAACATGTGAGTTAGGTAAAAACCACCATCACAGAAATCAAATACCTCAAATAGATGAGAATATCCATCTTTATCTTCAATCACAGAAGTAAAAAAAGGTATTCCTATCATATTTGGAGATGTAACTGAAAGCCACAGCTAATTGGGAATTAGAACTAGGGAATTTTAGGCCTGGTGCTCAGACCAAGAGATACCTACCTCTCTTCAAGTAATAAGCAAATCCAAAGAAAATGTAATCAAGACCTCGCTGCCAGTAAATTTCTGGTACAGAGTAATTCCCAAGGATATGTTTGTTAATAGGAATCACACCCCATATTTCAAAGACACTTGTTACATGAAATTGCAACTGCTAATCCCAAGAAAACATTTTACAGCAGGTGCACTAAATCCAAACCCAGCTGTAAAGTTCAGCCCCGTACAGCCAAAGCAAAAAGATTCCTAGTGTTACAACTTACTAAATGAAGCTCTGACTTTTTAAGCCAGAATTCATTTTGTATTTGGCACAGATATTTAAACCACAATTTAACCTGCATTCTACCTAGATTTGGACTCATCATTGCAATCTCCATGCATGTGTCTCTCTCTCTCGGAGGGCGGGAGGGGGTGGAAATCTAAAATTTACAAACTATTCTTAGCCAAAGAAGGAATACTTCAGAAAAAGTATGGACTAAAACTCTTCATTCCAAAGGATACTTAATTTTCCAAACACATCATCATTAACAGAAAGGACTAACACTGCAGAATTCAAATTAATCTGCCCTAAAAGTTTTCTGCTGCTCAATGACAGTGACTGTGAACCCTGTTATTCATAAGAGCAGTTATCAGCTTCAGAGCTGCACATTTTATAAACACAAAACAGTTAATTTGACTTAAACTGATGCTCACGCAATACACTAAACAGCCCAATTCCCTGTACTTTAGGATATTTTTCTATTTTTTTTTTGGAAGGGTACCTACAAAACTCTGCTGAAGCTAGAATTCTAGCACACACACTACAAATTTTGATCCAGTGATACTGGTTAGACTATACCATTTTTTAAGTTTCACTTCATTGCTTCTTCGTTTTAGCCTCTTGAATAATCTTCTCACAACGGACCTTTCTCTACAGAAGTTTCCAAAACTCAAGGTTTTTCAGGAACGGCTCCAGGTAAAGGTGAAGCCTTCTGAGCAGCTCCTGCAAAGGCTCCCTGCAGGCAAGGACCTGCTTGGAGGCCCTCAGCACCCGCAGTTACTGGTATTAGGTTTGTGCAAGCTTGGCAGTTCACACAAGACATTCAGCACCTTACAATACTGAGCTCCAACTTTTACAAAAGTTGCACTTGATAGGATAAACTTTGATAGATACATATATAAAACACACAAACCACTGAATTAAATCCTAGAAACCAAGATGAAAAAAATTATCATCATGGGTGTCTCAATTATGAAAAGTTGCAGCTTAAATCACTTTTATGAGAAAACTTAAACCCCATATAGGCTTGGGGTTCCTTAAGTGACAAAAACAGTATAAAAGCTTTTTTTTTTTTTTAAAAAAAAAAAAAAGAAGTGGAGCAGTGAATTTGGCAAGAGCCAAGCAGCAATCAGTATAGCATTCTGTAATAGACTAAGGTGCAATAAATCACTCTGTTCAGCCATAATCTTTCTCTGGACTATCTGCATTTTTTTTTAACTTGTCAAATATGAGTTAATTTTTAGTGAAGTCCAAAGCCCTTTATATTTGCTGAGCCCTTCCCCAGAGGCTTGCCAGTGGGGCCGGGCGCTCTACACTAAGTAACCGGACAACTCTTTGTAGGCCTGCTACAGGACAGCAAGAGATGAAATTACTGCTGAGTTTTTATTGTCCTGTTATAGCTCTTATTTCATCACTTAAAAACAAAAAAAAATGAACAAACAAACAGAAAAACACTTCAAGCAGGAATAGGCTCCAAACCTTCTGCGCTTTTAAGAGCTATTTCTAGAAGCTTAGCTCTAACAGTCTATTATTGTTTTAAATATGCCATATGGGAAGCCACAGCACCCTATAACTTTTAATCTTGTATTCATCAGACAATAAATATCTTCTGCTGCAATTATATGTGCTGTAATGCAGTGCAAACTCTTTAAAATACCTCAACTTTAAGCCTAGTAAAAAGGGAAGAAAGAACTATAAGAACTATATACACACATAAAAACCAACGGGAAGAAAAAAAAAAGAAGAAGAAAAAAAAAAGAAACTTCCCAATAAGCCCTATCCTTGATGTAAAGGGAAAGGAAAAACACAGAACTGGTTTTTGATGACGTCTGTGTGTAACTCAATCTACCTTTTGCAATGAGGATATCCTAAGAGACAAAGGTGAACTTGCTTTAAAAGAAGGCTCAAAGTAACTTCACTAAATGAAAAGCCACATTATACAGATTCACAAGAGTACAATAACTACAACTTGTCAATTAATTTCTGCTTTAAAATGAAAATTTACCTCCTCTCAGCATCAAGCACAAAATTTGATAACTCTGATTCAATAATTTGTCTTTGACAGTGACCAGTAACAAAAACACTTCAGTGAGAGGCACAAAACCTTTCTGGCCTCAGGCTGCAACTTCTCCAGTCTTTGGGAAATAAAAGCTGCTAGAACTGCTTTGCCAGGTCCAACCGTATAGTTATCTTTCCTTGTAATCATCTACACTCAATTTTTATTCACTTCACATTCAAAGATTAACTTTGCACACTGGTCGTCAACATTTGCTGGGTAGTTACTAGCCATAAGGCTAAAGATGCGGGCCCACTCCACGGAATGATGTCCATGGGGAACAGCAGTGTCGTCCCACCCTGCTTGCACAGGAGGAGTCAGGGCTCCTGCCAACGCGCTTGCTCCAGCATCACACACAGCCACCAGCTAGACAAGCAGCACACGATCCGTTTGAAGAATCCCAAATTCCTCCTTTCCCCTCAAAAAGGCATCCACACAGCTACTGCTCAATAACGAAAACTATTTTTCACCTGCTCCTGTCCAGGCATGGCATAAGAGGGTCCAATTCTTGTTAGTCTCTCCACTAGCCAAAGGGATTGGGATGACTGAAACCTGAACGACTGACACCTGAATGTGACATCTGTGCTTCTGTTTCAGTTGGGGCTCTTAAAGAAAAGCCTGGTAATTTCTTGTGTACAAAAAGCCTTTTCCAAAAGAATAACAAGCTCCACAAAGCCTAGGCATTTACACCAACTGCACTTAAACCTTGGTGAGAAATCTGGCCAAGGGAAGCACCCTTGGGCTTGCAGAGGATCTTGTAACATCAGGTCCAACTGATGCAGAGCAACTTTTCCAGCCTGAACACAGCAGTCTGGGTTTGTGCACATAATAAGCTGACAGATATGACTGTATTTGCCACATTCCATACACACAAATGGTCAAAGGAATATTCCTTCCTTCTCATGTCCGAATGTTGGGATACATCCGCCAAGTGAAAATATAAAGCACCTCAAACAATCACCAGGCTTACTCCTCTATAATGCTTTCATTGGATAAAAATCATTTCAACACTCACATATAGGTACCCAGTAGCAAAGCAGCTCTAATAATGGTGTTTTAAGGCAATTCATGTTAACAGGACAGATGGAAGAAACATCAAAAAATGGGACTTTTTCAATTTTACCTCCTTCTGCACTGAAAACAGAATGGGAAAGGCACAAAATAAAGCTGTCAGTTGTTCGGCATTTGCAGCTCTGGTCTGAGGTAGAAGCTCTATTGAGCCATTAGAAGCTTCTCTCATAGACTGAATTTGCATTGGCACCATAAAAGATCACTAAAATATCAAGAGTTATATAATAAAAATTTGACACCTTGTTCTCAGAGTAGCTCATATTCCTGCATAATTTCTCCATGGCTCTAGTTGAAAGTGATTGTAAAGGGCAAGTTCAAAGGGCTCTCAGGTAACCTGGGAGAAAAGCAAGATCATGCACCATCTTGTCCAACGCTCAGCTACCCAGTCCTAAGCGTAGTGCCAAGAATCTGCAAGTTTTACTAGAGGGAGACCAAAAACAAACATCTAGCATCAACAAACTGCCCCAGACATGAGCAAGCACCTTAGGAAGCAGTCTAGCAGAATTGCCTGTTGAGTGAAACATCACGTAACAATGTTGTACACTGGAATAGTATTACAGGAAACAGTGCCAGTCACCTAAAAATTCAGTATTACAAGAAGTTCAGCTTTATGTCATGGGATATTTATGATACTAAACTATGTATTTATCAGCATAGAAATATTCTTCACAGAACACAGAGTGAATGATAATAACAGATAACATAAACAAAGCTTGTAAGGTTAGCATGCTGCCCTGGATAAAGATATGAAGACGTTTGTTGTGACTATCGCGCAAGGTCCCAAATCAGTTAAGTCACTGGGAACAGCAAAGCTAGCAGCTCTGCTCCTCAGGGAGGATGCCCGGAGCGGCAGCGCTGCAACAGACAACGGCGAAGGCTGACACCTCTACAGGGGGTTCCAGCCCAAAGCAAACACTGCTTGGGGACAGGGCCCGCCACAGAGGCGAACGCGGGAGCTTTTGAAGGGAACTGAATGCTCAGGGTCCAAGCGGGCTGCAGAGAGGCCTCCTTCCCGCACCTCGGACAAAGCCAGGTCAAGGCTGGGGTACCTCATCCCAAAGGCAGCAGCGGCAGGAGCAGCAGCAGGCCGGGCCCGCAGTGCTCCAACCGGCGGTGCCGCTTGGGCGAGCGGTGGCCAGGCCGCAGCTGCGGGAACCGGCCACGGCTGCCGGAACATCCAGCCAGGGCGGCA